CCCAAGAGTTGGCGGTGGGTGGTGATGACTAGCTGCCCTCCCTCTAGTCTTACACTGCTAAATTAGGGACGGCTAGCGCAGATAGCCCTCGTGTAGCTTTGCGCGAAATTCAAAAACAAACAAACAAACAAAGACACGTTTATTGTACTTGCTTTTTAAGAGGTGCCCACTTAATTTATGAACAACATAAAGTATAAAACCGCCATTTGTGAGATAATATTTATTTCTGTACATGCAACGTTTCGCCTCTAACAGTAAGACATGATCACGTACAACATAAGTTACACGATCATGCCTCACTGATAAAAGATGGAACTTTGTACAGAAATATATCTATTACCTCACAAATATTTGTTTCAAAACTTCGTATACACGTTTAATGTATCACGTGACTTTCTCTCCTTCACTCGCTTCGTTTTCTGCGATTTCTTTTAGTTCAACAGATTTAAGTACACATACTTTTTTCTGTTCTTTTGTTATGTGTTTTACGAGCCCGGTATGGCCCCTGTGGTTAGGGCGCTCGACTCGCAATCTGAGGGTCGCGGGTTCGAATTCCCGCCCCACCAAACATGCTCGCCCTTTCAGCCGTGGGGGCGTTATAATGTGACGGTCAATCCCACTATTCGTTGGTAAAGGAGTAGCCCAAGAGTTGGCGGTGGGTGGTGCTGACTAGCTGCCTTCCCTCTAGTCTTACACTGCTAAATTAGGGACGGCTAGCGCAGATAGCCCTCGTGTAGCTTTGCGCGAGATTAAAAAAAAAACAATTTATTTTTCTATCTTTTGCAAGAAATATGGGTCAGGATAGTTTGGTCTACCTGTATTTACTAATGCAGTAGTTATATTTATTTTGCGACAGCATTTACTTACAGTGCCTTTTTCTTCTTTTTTATTATTATTAACCAGTCGTAATACTTTGTATTCAAGAGAGTAGGTTGGGCCGTTTTTAATTATCTACTGTTGGGTAACAATCCTTTTTATCGTGTCTTCTATTTCTGGATACAAACACCTTAATCTATCCTTCTAATAATTACAAATTTGTTCACTTGTTGTTGAACAGCAGATTCTCACCCACGTCGGTGTATAATTGGAGAGAGATGTATTCTTCATTACTATTTGAATGCTAGTAGTAGTAGTAGTAGTGTGCAGTTATTTTCCCCGAATAAGGGGCCAAAGGCCGCCTTGAGGGATCACCTGTTGTAACCACTCACACCACTGTATAGTAGTGTGTCGTCTGTCATTCAGCCAGTAGATACTAAAATGACGTCACATAACGGACGCTTAACATTGCAATTTGTACTTTCGTGACGTCAGTTAAATGTGCACATGCCACGAATCACAATAAGAATCAATCTCTATAGACTACAGCACAGCATCTGTTGCTCTTTATTTTGGTTTTATTTACTTTTGAAACAGAGCACTTTGGAAGACTCTGTGCAAGTGCATCTAGTATAAAATTATGACTTTAATGATTTTTTTTGCATTTATTTTCATCTTTGTATGGCTTATTTTCGCGTATACTTGGATTACATTTATCACTTTGTGCCATTGTGGTGTTGACTTAAAAAATAAAAATGTGGGCAAAAAATTCAGTTTTTTGAGGCAACATTACTGTAAGGTTATTTCAAAGGAGAAAAAAAAACTCTCTTTTTAGGTTTTTGTAAAAATATCCTATGTTAATTTATTTTTCTACTAACCTTACATCAAGACTACTAAACTTTGGGTTATTTTTGTAAGCATAATATGACCCACGCTCTTATGAAAAATTACTGTTCGATACTTTTAATTTTTGGAAATATAATACCAACTACATTGGTACAGTATGCTTTGAAATAACGTTAATGAATTAAAAAAAATAACTGAAGTTTAATTACTCTTATAGGTTACTTGTAGCTGCAGCCATAGCTTCAACTAGGTCCATCTACCATCTGTTTGTAAAACTAGCTTTTACTTCCATCAGTTTGTAAAATTAACTTTTCGTTTTAATCTCCTGATGGCATACATCAGTAAGATAAACTTAATGCTATAAACTGTGTTTGAATATCAGTGGTTGGCATAACAAAGGTAGCCTATTGTGTAGCTTTGTGCTTAACAACAAACAAACAAAACAATTGAGTCTACCAATTAGACTAGGCTTTAAGGCTGTGCCCTTATCAAAAATACAAACAATTTTTTTTTAAATTTCTCATGGTTTATGAAAATTGGTGCAAAATAAAAGCTGAAAAGAATTAAATGTAGAAAGTTCTTATAACAATTAATATATTTTAAACATGAAGTTACTTTAAGCAGGTGCAAGGAAATATATGTTTTTAGTTTGAAATATATTTGTTGACCCTCTGTAAATTTGTGGGTGTTTCTGTTTATACGTGTTATACAGAAGTTTTATATAAAATATGGTTAAAGAGAACTTTTCAAAGTATTACACTATATGCATTGTATTTTCAGATTCTCACATTAACGAAAAATTTTCCCCAATTGTTTTGGTAATTGAAGTGACCAAAATTTTCAAACTTTTACTTAGAACAAGTTTTTGTTTTTTCATTAGTTCTCTTTTCATGCAACAACAAACTTTCATTTTATGATTTCAGGTACTATGAATACTAAAGAGAAAGTGCATCTTTATGTTGAGCAGCGGGGTTGTGAGGTGGACACTTCTATACATAATGCACTAACAGAAATAGCATCTGCTGGTGTATCACTTACTGAGCCAAAAGAGGTCATTTTTGGGATTGCAGGACAAAACTGGGGCCACAAAGATGTAATTATAAAAATTGTGAATTCACATATTGTTTTTAAGTTAGGGCTGGTAATAACTAAAGACCCATTTATTGAAAAGAAATTTAAATGTCCAGATAATACATGTGAGTTTCAAAAAACATCACTTTCGGAGCTTGCTGAGCATCATTTTAGGAATCATCGAAAACTAAAAGATGATGTTCCATTTGATGATGTTGTTTACTTCTGCTGTAATAAAAACTTCTTACACTTTGAAGTATATGCTTGGCACTTGTTTTATGAACATCAACAAACAGCAAAAGTGGACTTCAGATTAGAAAGGATTGTAGACGGGACCAAGATGTTTATCAACAGATGGTTATATGAAAATAAAAAAGTAATAGCTTTTCAAGATTTAGTTCTGACAGCTGTTAATATCATTTGCAATTTTGGAAATTACTACATTTTTATGTGGAATTGTCAAGACTTTGCTACCTGGTATTTGTCCACACTCGGTCTGCCCTTAGGACTTCTTCCACCTACCCTAACCGACCACACAACGGGTACCGGAACAACAGGAAAAGTAATTCAACAGTTGAAGTCCAGATGGTATAACTTGCATAAGAGTATGTGGAACCCTCCAATAACAAGCCATGAAACTGGAATTTGTCTGTGTGTTTACTGTGAGTTTCTTCCACCATTATCGATCAATGCTTTGGTAGAGCATTTACGTATTGCCCATAATGCTACTCCCGAAACCATGAACGATAAACAAAATTATAGTGAAAGAGGAGCAGCTCAGGGTAAGTAATAAAACCGTTTGTTTTATTTTTATGTTAAATCACGTTTCTGTGTCACAGATGTTTTTGCACATTTTTAAAAGGCAGGCGGATAACTAAAATTAAACAAGAATAATGGCCTAACAGTAACATGTTTATTATTTTTTTAAATAGTTTTTCAATCTCTATTTTTTTTATATTACAGAGCTAGTCAGAGCATTGAATCCAGAAAATCTGAAGTATGTGGTAAAAGGCAAATCGCTTATGTTGGACTTTTACGGGGATCGAAAGTATACGGTCTACAGATGGCAGAGTACAAAAAGTCTTGCATCTCATGTTTCTCTCGTCTTACAACCATGGAGTCTTCAGATTGATAATAATCACGAATGCAAAACAACCGACTCTAAACCTTATTATTATTATCATACTGTGGAAATTCAGCAGCAGTTTGGAGACTGTGATGATGTGGATCATAACCTTCTGGTGTGTCAACCACTGGATGAGGTTGACATTGAGAAGCTTAGAGTTGTTGGAGTTATCTCTTCTGTATCTATAGAAAATTTGCTTAAATTACTTGTAGAAATATACATTGAATCGCTTTCTTCTGTCACTCCCACTGATAATTGTCTAACTTTTGCTCAACTTCTAGAAATGAAGTTGGAGCAGCACTTCGATCTTGAGAGAGATGATTCCAACATTGAAAAGGTTACTTTTAAAGAACTGCTATCGTGTTTTCATTTAGGTTTTGTGCTGTCTCTGTTACAAGGAGCTAGTTTATGTCATTTCATTCCAGCCATCTTTGCAGCCACGTTTCCATCTGCACAGCATTGTTTGGTTTTCTATTTTCTTATTCATGTGATATACAAAGTGGTAATTGTCGTATACGACTTTAAACGCTATTTTTCCAGAATACTTCTGACAGAAAGTCAAGTCAGTTGGAAAACTGCATGGAGTGAGATTAGTCGTGTACTTTTGCTGTACCGTAAGAAGTTTTTTCTTGAAATGATAAAGGTATGCTTCCTTCTTTCCGAGATATGGGCTGTATTGTCAAACCTAGAAAATATTCCAGCCCTTTTTACAATCCAGTTTTCATTTTTTATGTTTGAGTCACTATCCTCAAAAGTAGCAGAATTTTGTGACGAACAGGGAGGCAAATACGCCCTTTACCTTAAACTTTGTTTTGATCAGAATAAATACCCATCTCGAATGTTGGAGTTGATAGGAACTATAGGTGACTGTGTTGTTTTAATTTTGTTGTTTCTTTCTTTTTTGGGGCTGTCTAAAATGCTTTTACTTTTAACTCTTGGGCCAATGGCACACTGGTATTTTTCAACGGGTAATGGCAGATATAATAAAAAAATTAACACATTTCTTCCAAGTCTGATTTTATTTGGTCACTATTTTCCAAAAATCAAGTCTTTTATATGGAATGTGATGTTTGTTTTATTTACTTCTGTTGTGGTTGTATTTTGTTTCTCAGAAAGTTATGTACATTTTTCTGCATCCAACTCTATCCATTGTAGTTTTTTTCTTATCTTCGCCGTGGTGAGACTGGCGTACCTTCATACAGAGCGTAAACCTCATTGGTATGGTATCGTACAAATGGCACAAAATCAACTAAACATTGAATGCTTCCCAGACTCTGAAGAAAAGAGAGTTCATGCAGTTACATTAAAAGAGAATATTCAGAAAAACTTAAAATTTGTTTCAACTTTTATCCATTTATCAGCATTTTTGGTTATTGTACTTGCTTTTGTAACCTTTATAGGTATGTTTTATGTTTGGCAAACTCATCACGACCTTAATGTTGTTCTAGCAGTGACAAGTTGCATTATGATTCTACATTACAAAGTTACTTTGAATTGCAGCACTTTGACATTATGTATTCTGGAATGTGCATTACACTTGAAATATGACTGCAAGTACTATGGAGCAAATGAGACTAATCCTGGAAATAAATCACCACCACAAAAAGACTTTTTGGAGTATATTGCAGATATGTGTGACAGAAGAAAAACAATTGAATGAACCTCAACTAATTAATTTTTTTTATAAAAAAAGGGGATAGTTATCCATTATATTTTCAGTAGGTTGTTTCTGTTTTGTAGTTTAAACTTTTCAACCTGTATGTGTCTTGAATAGATTATAAAATGTTTAAGATCAGCACTGGTTCATGATGCAGTGATTTGATCTTACTAGACCTGTATAAGTATTCTTGTTTTGTGTACTGTTGTCTCAGTTAAAGTAATCAACTCGTATATTTAAAAACTCTATTTAAAAAAACAAAACACTTTCGCACTTTCCGGTCGTTATCCAAAAGTTCTAACGGAGGTTGCATGTGGTAATAGAATACCAAAAGCATTGGGGATATCCAACCTGTCAGAGCTCACGGATAAATATAAAAATTCTCCTGAAGGGGCATCTATTAGGTTTTTTTCTGTATTAGAGCAAAGTCACATTGACTTGTCTGCTGTGTCCACTGCAAGGAATCGAACCCTGGATATTAGAGTTGTAGGTTCGTAAACTTACCCCTGACCTACCAGGAGGCGTCTTTTAAGTATCCATGTTATAATTTCTTTGGTTAATTTCCAGGAATTAATGTTCTTGTTGTTTTTCTTTCTGCTTGGTACCGATACAATTAGTTTTATTTGTTTTGCGGGTGTCGTTTCGTCTGTATAGTTTACTGGAGGTTCGGTTGGGAGTGTAAATTTTTGTTGAAATTTGATCGAGATAGTTACCAACTAGCCTTAATAAGGTCGAAAAATTGAGTTGGAAATGAGCATTGTGTTTCTAAAGAGGTGAAATTAAATTTGACAGGAAATGGTACTATGATCCCCGCAAATGTTATTGTATGAAGTAAAGTACTTGCATTGAGTTAACAAAGAAGATATGATGATGATGATGATAAGATCTAAAAAGTCTTTTTATCTGTCGTGGGCTAGTGTTAGAGAAATTGTTGGCTGTAAAATCACTGTTTAGTCTTAAGTGAGTTTTGACAGTAAAAACATTTAGTTTTAATCAAGTTTTGACAGTAAGACCATTGTTATTTTAAGCGATGTTTGACAAATAAAATCATTTATTTCTAAGCAAGGCTTGAAAGTAAAAGCGTTGTTTAGTCTTAAGCGAGGTTTGACAGTAAAATCAGTTTAGTTTTAAGCAAGTTTTAATAATAAAATCAGTTTAGTTTTAAGCAAGTTTTGATAATAAAATCAGTTTAGTTTTAAGCAAGTTTTGACAACAAAGGCGTTCTTTAGTCTTAAGCGAAGTTTGACAGTAAAATCAGTTTAGTTTTAAGCGAGTTTTGACAATAAAGGCGTTCTTTAGTTTTAAGCGAGTTTTGACAATAAAGGCATTCTTTAGTCTTAAGCGAAGTTTGACAGTAAAATCAGTTTAGTTTTAAGCGAGTTTTGACAATAAAGGCGTTCTTTAGTTTTAAGCGAGTTTTGACAATAAAGGCATTCTTTAGTCTTAAGCGAAGTTTGACAGTAAAATCAGTTTAGTTTTAAGCGAGTTTTGACAATAAAGGCGTTCTTTAGTTTTAAGCGAGTTTTGACAATAAAGGCATTCTTTAGTCTTAAGCGAAGTTTGACAGTAAAATCAGTTTAGTTCTAAGCAAG